TTTAATTATAGTCTTTATATATAATTTCTTCCAGCAATCTGTAAAGGAAGGAACGAGAAAATAAAATAAATAACCCATCAAAACTAACTGTTCTATATGTTCTTGCTATAAAATTGATTTAGAAAACGCAGCATATAGAACTGAAAGGAATAAAGAAGAATTTTTTTCATTCCCTAGCAAGTAGTTACTCTGCAGGTATAGCTCTATCGAGTCAGCATTTTTCACGTAGGCCTTGTGGGACCAATGCGCGCGCACATTGACCGGAAACGAGTAGAAATGACTGTTGTGATTGGGTAACTCGTTTTATTGTGCGGATATGATGTGTTGTTGAAATTCATATTTGGTATATATGAAATTTTTGAAACGATATTGAAATAAAATATAATATTGTTCTGTAAAATGTTTTTCATTTTATAAAGCGATTATTTTGAGATATAACAACGACTTTATAAATATTTTCTAAAACATACGTACCCACAAATGGGGCATGAAAATATAATTTCAAAATTCAGAACATATTCCGAATTTGAAGATTCGCACAAGGGTATTGTGTCACCACACTGTCGTTTTACAATAAAGCCCGAACAGCATCCACATATATCCAGACTGTAACAGAGTTGTTCAACCGACATTTCTGCAACAGCTGTAGATAATTAAGTACTTTAAATTGTCCCGGATGTGTTATGGATACCATGTTATATACGCTACGTTCCGGTTTATTACAGACCTAATGATCTATTTTAACGACCCTTTCCAACAATTAATGTTCATTTTATACCAATACCGTGGCATTATTGTTTAACTAAGATTATATACAACAAATAGTGTATTTTGAAGTAAGTTTAGGTTTCGTGTTCGGTAAATTAAGTTATAACATTGCGTGCATTGCCAATTGACGTTTTTTGGCTAGGTTAACAGATATTTATGAGTATATGTATGAGTTAACAGAAACATGTGGTTCAATAATTAAGTTATAACGGTATTGCGTGCATTGACGTTTTTTGGTCTATTTTGAATCAACCGTCTTTGTACAAAAACTCCATCAAAAGCCTTTGAGTTATGGGCAATCAGAGTGTACAAACTTTTCGGAAACTTTCTCTAATTTAAATTGAAACATTTTAATTCTATATCTGTATCTGTTTGTTTTAATTCGTTTCTTTTTTTCATCATTCTATCCCTTGCTGAATGACTTTTGCTGTTTTGTCTTGCCAATACAAAACTTTTTTTAAATCAGGCGTTGTTTTAATGATTTCTCTGTTAATTTTCTTTAGACGTCTTGCTTTTTTGTTTTTTTCGAATGGCCCGTTCATGCAAACGATCCATTTGTAGACTTGTTACTTTACTTTGATTTTTCATTCTTAAAACCACAGCGATTTCTAAAACAAAAATTTTCGAAAATTTGTGGAAATTGGTGGAATGTGAAACCAATAGGCTGATCACTTCTTCACAATCGCACAACGGAAAGTTGTTGGGTTTGAATTTGTCGTCGACTCTGGTTTGAAATGTCTCTACGAGTTCCGGATAGAACTCTTCTCTTGTAAAATGAGAACATGTTTCAGTTCTACATTTAACAAATCCACGGCCATCTTTCGACTCAAATCGCTTTAAGCCACTACCACAGAAACAAATGTTTATGTAATGCAGCCATAGTAATCAGATTACACAATTCAGCCAGACTTGTATTTGATGCAGACATAAAATTGATCACTTTTTATAGACACAGTTCGCGCCATTTTTCTTCGAGAATAATATACCTAGCCGTTTCATGTTTGCATTGTATATGAAACAACAAAAAATTTATTACCATGTGTATATGTTACTCATGCCAAGTTTTTACTGCACGAATAAAACGAAAACAATATGACTATAAATATATGCTTACCCTAGTCAAAAACATCAATGCACGCAATGCCATTATAACTTAATTATTGCCACATGTATCTGTTAACTCATGCCAAGTTTTACTGCACGAATAAAACGAAACAATGTGACTTTAAATATCTGCTAACCTAGCCAAAAACGTTAATGCACGCAATACCGTTATAACTTAATTATCGAATCACATGTTTCTGTTAACCCATGCCTAGTTTTTACTGCACGAATAAAATAAAACAATGTGACTATAAATATCTGCTAACCTAGCCAAAAAACGTCAATGCACGCAATACCGTTATAACTTAATTATTGAACCATATGTTTCTGTTAACTCATACCGTGTTCTTGCTGCACGAACAAAATGAAAACAATGTGACTATACAATTAAATATACAACTAAATACAATTAAACCGGATACACACAGTTGAATGTGCATACTTAATAATTGAGCGGATATTTCCGGTTATGATGTCAATCATATAAATAAATAAATGAAAAACTAAATCGAGTGTTAAAAGAGACTCTTAAAAAGGCCGTTTTTGTATGTCTTGTACGTCTCCCTCACTCTAAAAGAGACTTATCAAAATCCACCACATGTTGTGCGGCTAATAATTCCTCTTGACAGTCTTGCTTACTCCACGGCGATTGCATGGCGCGTTTTGCCCGAAACTCCAAAAACAGCTACAAATTTCGCTCCGCGACAAACGCCATGATCGTTGTATTATATTCCCCACGAAGGGAAAATTCGCTGTCTAAGCTGGTGACGTTGGTCTTTGAGTTTGGTGTTACGAAATTCTCGTTCTTTTCATAGTGGATCTCGCTCACTTCATCACTTACGAAATTTTGCATCGACAACGTTGATCTCATCCGAGGTCAGATAGTTGTTGATCAATTCTACTTTGATCATATTGGGACATTGCGCAAATTTACCTACTGAGAAAAAAATATATTACGAGTATTTGTAGCGATAACGTTGCATGTGTTTGGATGCCACCTAAAAGACGTGTTCGCTTAGAAAATACCGGTTTAAAATACATTCCCCAAAACGAGTTTAGCGTCAGCTTGGATAGCGCACGCATGCCGTATTCCTTCAACTACAAGGTATTCGTCTACGTACTGTTTTTTTTATGTTCTTCCGTGGTACAATTTTTGGGGTAACCACTCGACTCCTGCTTGATCTTGAGGAAAGTGTCCACATAATCTTTGAACAATCCGTCCGAGGATTCGGGAAAATGCCATACTTCGTGCATTTGTAGAATTCGGTAACCTTTTTTCCAGGGCTTTCTCCAACTCTACGTTGCACCATGTTCCTTGGATGGCTCTTTCGTGATCGGAATGTGTCATGCCGTTTCATAACACGTGTCAGCGCAGGACTTGTATAGGGGGAACATCAATTTGCCTTGTGTACGATAGGGCAGAACGGGATGAAAAAGACCGAGGTGGAAGAACCGTACATTAAAGTAAGTCGGAATTTTCTTCGGAATTTTCGGTAATGATGCGAGGATGACCAACTACTGTCCTAGTCATTTTGTTGTACCAGCGGTAAAGGCTCGTAAAATCCATCAAACCAAACGTTTTTTTTGAAAATCAGCGAGTATCATCTGTGACGTCATAGTCGTTCCTATCATTTTATTACATCTTGCCTTATTTTCTCACCATCTTTACATTCGTGGAAAAGTTTTGCAGCGTTGGTTCGTCCACCAAAGAAGGCATCACGAGGTTCCAAAGGGTCAACCAGATCGTAGTTGTCAAGTAAGTTTTCATGTCTTCATCTTGATCCAGTTCTTTCCTTATGTCACATTCCCAGACTTCAATCACACCGAAATCATGATCTTTAAGGTAACTGATCTTCTCCATTATAGCTTGACGAAGATCTTGCATTGTCTTACCACTCACAAGATTTACCGTGTCGCGAGCATAGCATTTCAAACATCCTGTAGAAACAATAATATAATTTTACTCCGCGGTGTTTATTCGAAGAAGGCGTTTGTTCGAGTCAACCTACCGTGCCAGAAGCACCATTTATCTCGTAGGCTGTGCTGGTTTCTTCATGATAACCGTCCAGTAAGTAATTACCAACACGTTTTTCTCCTGCATTACGAGCATGTTGAATGTAGAGGTCATTCTAGCAAGCGGCTAATGATTTCGACTTTCTTCTCAAACATTAAGCCTTGCTCAAATTCATTCAAAGCATGTTAACTTTCCAAGAGCCTCGCCAATTGAGCTTCGCCAATTTTCTCACCCAAATTCATACTATTATATCAAATACTCTGATGTTTTCTCTGTGAAAGCAGCATAAACAGTACTTCAAACTATATTTATTTACTATATTTATACTTCATTCTTTTGGACGATAAATTTCGAGTACAGCGATCCACGCAAACGTAGTGCCTGAAGACGTCTGGCGTACGATCTTAAATCAGTGCTTAACCTGTGCGTGCGACCTTTCCGTGCAACGCCACACTGCATGGGGGGAGGGGGCATAAACAGTCAGGAAATTTAAAACATTTATTTATCGCCTTAAACCAAAAGCTTGAACTCCGTCTCTATAAATCGAGCGTCGCTTCATGATCTTTCCCAAAGTTTTTAAAATGTTCCGCTGCGTACTCAGAAGGGAGATATAGGCGGCAACACGAAATCGTACTGATTTTAAGAGCAGAATATCGTGAAGCAGAATATTTGAACAATAAAGTTGCAGATGAGCAATCTTATAAAAATAAATTAGTTAAGTTGGCTTTCTTATTGGAACATTTAAATTGTTGTAATACTACGTGTAACTTCAGTAAAATAAAAAATTTTCTCGCGAACTCAAAGTGTACCTCAAGACCCTCTAAAATAACATAAAATACACCCATTGTACACCACATGCGTAGGTACGCTCGCACGCCATGCGTGGCGCGTGGCACGAGTGGGAAGCATCCCTGAATGCTGCGTTGAAAGCAGATTCGTTACTTCAGCAGTCACTGTGGACATAAATGTCTGGAGAAGCTCGGGTGGCAGTCCATTCTCAGTAGAAACATTAGTGTGAGAGGGAAGAAGAAAAGCAGTCAGTGCTATACCAACCGATTTTTGATTCCCACTGTACGTCTCTATTGTATAGTTAATGGTTGAACTATGGCGACTACGCTGCGATGACGGCCCATCAGCTGAAGCAGTGGTATGTCTTTTGTGTTGTCTTTTCCTTTTTTTGGTAGCATTTGACAATGAGAAAACTTGCCAACAAACTGTATGGAATGGAGTAAAAAAAAATGAGATAAATTACGATGAATATACATCATCGTTGAACCGCGTGAAAAACGATGATAATGGAATGAAATTCTTCGCACGACTTTTTTTAGAGTCACTACAAGGCGCGGCTTCTGGATGGCCTGATGGATATATTTGACTTAAACAAGACATCTACAACATGGAGTTCAAATGTTAAAATCTCTAAAAACATGCATGTTAGACTGTCGAAAATCCCCAACAACATGGAGAACAGTTCAAATATTACAATCTCCAAAAACATTGTGAACAGTAGAACAATCCCCGACAACATGCACAGCAGTTGAAATACTAAACGGGTCAGGCTCATGCATTGCGGGCTTGCAAGGTCATGCAATCCGGTATATAGGTCACTCAATTTTTTTGACACCAGTTAAAAAGCATCCGTTATTTTAAATACATCTATACCTAAATAGAAATCTTAGCTTCTTGAGTTATTAGGATGTATGTAAGGTCCACTCTGGGGCCGTAACTCGCAATGTAATAATAAGCTAGAAATTACCTTGTCACCCTTGTATATGAAATTGTCTTGTTTTGTATCTTGTCAACATTTCTTTATTCATGCGGATTGGGAACGTGTTTATTTTAAGTATCTTGTCAACATTTCTTTATTCATGCGGATTAGGAACGTGTTTATTTTAGGTATCTTGTCAACATTTCTTTATTCATGCGGATTGGGAACGTGTTTATTTTAGGTATCTTGTCAACATTTCTTTATTCATGCGGATTGGGAACGTGTTTATCTTAAGTATCTTGTCAACATTTCTTTATTCATGCGGATTGGGAATGTGTTTATTTTAAGTATCTTGTCAACATTTCTCTATTCTTGCTGATTGGGAACGTGTTTATCTTAAGTATCTTGTCAACATTTCTTTATTCATGCGGATTGGGAACGTGTTTATTTTAGACGATCCGTTTCGATTCCGTGCTTTCTTCATGCAACCAGTCGATTTTTGCTTTATAGCACTACTCTAAAACAATGAAGCAAAATATCATTCTTCATGGCTTATCGACCAGGCCTCAACACAAGAATTACTATTGTAGTTATTTCCATACATTATCATTTTTTTTTGTACTTTGTACAAACTTTTTGTCGTATTCAATACAATTTTTGCAAAATCATATATAACGTATAAACTTTGAAAATCTTTGTCGTTCTTTAGCCGGGACGATTGTTATCAGTCACCTTTTGATCGAAAGTTTTGGACATGAAAGTTAGGACATTTGCCGTATTTATTTAACGTAAACATGAGGAAGTGATCTGGACGGTAAACCATATAAAATTGCACTTTTAACTTTTTTTGTCAAAACTAACATTGTTTTGGCACGATTTATGCTTTTAACCCATTCTTAAACAAAGATGGTAATTTTAAACTCCAGACTGTATCCGCAATTATTCTGAAATGGACGAAATTGTAAAATCAAATCAGTACAATTTAAAACAAATGAAATGGAAAATCCCAATGTATTTTAGAAAAGACGTCTATATGTATATATAGTACCGAAAGTCATAACAGGCAAGTTCGACTTGTTTCAACTATCCCAGTATGTCAGTGACTACATGCCAGAGCCAACAAATATTTTTGTGAATCATAAATCGTATTGACGCTCGTGTTGCAGACATGCTCCTGGTGAATACACACCAGTATACATATATACACCAATCTTAGGCCTAGTCTATACCTCTATCTAGAAAAATAAATAATTTGTTTCATTTTTTGGTTTATGGAAAACACAACGTTTATTTTTTGACAAATAAATTAGTTCTGTATAGATGAATAAATTGATAAGCGTGGTGTTATCCACAAACCAAAAAGATATTTTCATCGCCATGTAAACATGCAAATGAACAACATTAACATATTGTCAGATTCATGCATTTATAGTTACTGCCGTCAAAGTTTGCACCAGATATGATGATATGATATCCAGCCTATAACATATGAATATATAACAAGTGGAGATACTTTTAAATATCCAGTCTATTATTATTCTTCAGTATAAATTCAGTATTGAAAAATGACTTTCAAGCATTCTGATTGGTTCCCTCAACAGTATCTCTGAGACAGTAGTTACTGCTCAGACTTCTCGCTCTCAGCAGTAACTCTGGGGCAATAGTTACGGCTCAAGCTACGCTGAGCAGTAACTATTGCTTTCAAAACAAAATGGCTGCCGAAAATCCACTTGCAAACAAATCATCGAAGAAACAATTGAAGAAATTAAAGCACATATTATACCTCTTAAAGCAAAAAAAAAGCAGCAATATATGGTGTTAACCTATTTCCGAAAGACAAAAGCACCTCCAATTTAAAAAGGGAAAATAACAGAACCGTTTGACTCGAAAGCGGAAAAGTGAAGTAAATTATATTTGCAACGTAACGTTTGTATATATTATTATTTTTCATCACTGAATTTATACTGAAACAATTTGTCACCTCAGGCTTGGTGAGCTTATATTCACTTCGCTGCTTCGCAGCTCAGTGAATGCAGGTTTGTAATGCCTAGGCCTTCGGCAGTCGGCTAATTGTTAAATAATTCTTTCTGTTTCTCATAAACCATGTAATTTATCAAGACGATTGTTGAATTGAAATAAATATGATAATGTTTATATAAAAAAATAATGGAAAGAAAATATATATTTGTAAAATAGTATAATGTATTTTGTACTGTCGCTTTAAAAAACGAAAAAATAAAAATTATGTATTTTTCTCAACCTTGTGTTATAATAATCGTGACTTGGAAATCGATACCAGAATTTTAAAACAGCATTTAAATACCTTCAATCCTGGACACTACCATTAATTTGGCCAACTTTCGCAATGTTTCGATTCCGAAATCTTTTGTCCTCACCATTCGATGCTGATTACATTCCAATAATACGGTACCCTGGTTGCAGGGACGCTAAATAACGGCGAAGCGAAACAATGGCGAGGCGAAATAAAGAGCCTTTGTTCAAATGGATTGCGAATCTCACTTCCACATTTGATTAGGTTCCGAACCTGAACCTGTCAAACCTTTGAGTATTTGCAAATGTATGTCAAACCTGTTGGGGGAAAAACATGTACAATAGCTAATTCTGAAATGCTAAAGTGATGCAAAAAATGGATGCGAATTTGCTATTGTACAATAATTTTCAAATGTGTTGCGACGGATACTCTACCTATTATTTTGACAAATTTTCATTCCTGTCCCCCTTTCAATGTTGCTTCTCAGGTGGGATCTTACTTTGGTGCACAGAATAAAGATCCATTCAGAAGGGCCACTTACGTCGGAAGCTTTAAGTTTCTGTCCTCACGCATTACGCATGTTGGCCGCCATTTTTCTAGCCAGTCAGTGACATTTTCTGGCCAATAAACACCGCTGTACTGGCTGGTTGCTCCGCCTTCTGGCCAGTAGACTGCCTCTTTCTGCAAAAAACGAGTGCGCGTTGCACCCCTGAGTAGCCCTTCTGTTGCTGATCTTTATTCTGTGTTTTGCTGTGTCATCGACTAAACAGAATTGAATGGGAGCGGTAGGCCTATACAACTGTCTGTAGTAATTTGCATATATCCACTGCTGCTCTAAATCTACAAGTATCCCTGCAACAAGTTATTAAAATGATGTTTTTTCACAGACTGTTTTGAGGTCTCCCCTTTGTTTGTTTCAGGTCTTCCCTTTCCCTTGATTGTTTTCGCGTTAAAAGAAACAAGTTGCTAAGGGCCGTTTTCGCTGTTACTAGTGCAAATTTGGAACAGACAAGCTGAGAGCGTGTTTTTTTTTCAGAATGTCTGTGGTTTTTATCTTCAATTTTTAATTTGCTGTTTGTATCTGCATTTTTTAGTTTGCGTGACATAATTGTGAAAAGGTAGTGTAGTCCCCGAGCCGGTGCGAGGGTACTAATCCCTCCCCCCTCCCCCCGGCTATTTACACCCAGGGAAACGAAAGCATTAGCGAAGTCTAAAGTTCATCAAATATCGCGGGCGTGACCAACGAACTTGAGTGGGTGGTCATCCTCACTGATCTAAAAAATATGGCTGATTGCTTGTGGGAGTGGGATAAGCAAAGCGAAGCGTTTCAAGTTAAATTTTACATTAAATCAAAGCTCACAAAATGCAAAATAATATACCTACAGTGTATATTTCAGAAATTTTTTGTTGTATAGTTAAAAATACGAATCTTTCAAAATTATGAAAAAATTTAAAATTTAAGATATCGTTTTGTCATGGCAACACTTGAGCGCGAGCCTGCGTTCAGTGTCGGCCATTTCTGAATACTTCATGTTAATTTAATGTTTGTAAAATATTGGCCAGGGGTTACTGCATGCATGTATTTCTAGTACATATTATAAGCTCTCTTAAAACGCAATCACATGATCAATCACATGCTACGTTAAAATTCTGAATCTAACCAAGTATGCAAGTGAGATCCGTAATCGAGCGTTCTTTGTCCTCATCGCGTTTCCTTTGGCTCGCCGTTCCCATCGCCCTTCTTAAAAGGCCTCTGGAACCGGTAGCGAGTTTGTCGTAACAACAGATCATGCTATGCAAATTTTAATGATTTTCATTATAATCCAAACATTTGGAAATGTTTTGTGTTTAACTGGCCTATTTAGCTGCAGGTTGATTAGCACAGCATGACCAGGATAAGTTCGCCACTGCGTGCAAACAAGGTAAGAAAACGGTAGAGGGATTGGAATACGCCCAGCGTTTAGTTTTTTAGGGGAAGGGGAAACGAATAAATTGCTGCAGGATTTTGAAGATATCACTCGATGTAACTAATTACTGAAGAGATTTGTAATGAAAATTTCAAGTGGAATTTTTATACATTACCTAACCTAAAAATAGGTACGCTAGATACATGTATCTGCGCAAAGGAATTCCATGGACGCTGTAACCAACTGAACTGTAGGCAGACAGTTGTAGAGTTGTAACCACAAGTTCTGGTATGAATACTAAGGTGTATGGGTAAATATCAGGATTTTTTACATCTCCCTTCAACAATTGTTACATCGAGTGAGACAGTTGCATTTTCCTGGTTAGTTCTAATAAATGTATAAAAATTACACTTGAAGTTTTCATTCTACAAATCCCTAAAAAAAAATAAGTAGGAAAAGTCGCAGAGGAATGTTTGAGTCCCCTGATGATTTTGACCCAGTTTGTTGATATACCCTGCAATATATCCAATCCTTTAATGGACAATTTGCATGTTAGACTAAATTTTAATCTACGCAAAAAAGGGGGAATCAAACACCACAGTTAAAAAGAACGTAATGAAATTAGTCAAATTGCAAAATGTGGTTCCGAAATTTTTGTAAAATACAGAAAATATAGTCTTGCAAAGTTTCCATATTTTCAGTATATTTTGTTACGTCCGGATATTGTTACCATTTGCGGCTCAAAAATGGTAACAATTTCTGCACGTAATACAAATACACTTAAAATATGCAAACTTCAAAAATCGCCGATCAGCTGCTAGTAGAACTTGGGAGCCCAGAAGGGCATGGATGGGACAGAGATGGAAACGTTGTCTGCAGTGACATTTGCTATCCCGAGGAGGTTGACGCGCTACTCGCAGGAACGGAGAGTGAGAGCAGCTCGTCCCTCGATGATGACTACGAGGATGATTTGGATGTGGAAATTGAAGACACGAGTGAATTTTGAAAGGAAAATGCAAGGTTTGTGATCAGAATGTACATGCTTGTAATGTCATACACAACATAACTTCAATGGGGCAACAGCATTGCTTTTTACCAAAAAGAACAGAAATCACTAGCTTTCTTGCTTATTTAAGTAGGATGTTCCCAATAGTTTTATTAAATCAAGGATATGTGTATCAAAAAGAGGCTAGAGGTCCCAATATATCTGCGCATAACTCCGATTTTGAAATTAGCCCACCAAAATTGAGCAAAATCACCAACTTCCTTGGGTATCTAAGGCACATATGTAGGCACAAAAAACGAGGCTGTATGCACCAAAACGAGGCTGAAGGCCGCGGTATTGCCCGTGTAACATCGATTTTTGAAATCAGTGCCCCCAAAATTTACCAAAGTCACATATTCTGCTAAATTCCCTCCTCGGGTTACGATACCCCCTCCTCCTGGATTATCTAGTTAATTTGCAACTAATAATACATAATCTTTTGGTTTCAAGGTATGCGTCTTTTTAGTTTCAGTCCTACTTTTATTAAGAATATAATAGTTCCACCAAAATTTTATCACTACAATCTTAAAAAATCTTTTCGTTACATGTACATGATTGCTCAGACCAATGGTGATAGTAGATAACCACTAATGTGAATTAGGCAGATTTTCGTGAAAGGGCACTTTTGAATTGATATATACTAAGAGATGTTTACAAAACATCGGGAGTTGAACTTCGCCTAATTATGTTTTCTATTTATTGGATTATAGGGGTGTGATAGGGTTCTCCACCAGTGCTATTCTTGAAGCTCAATGACTGCATTTCTTGCGTTTTCTGAAGCAAATTCGTAAAATAATTGCACTAATATTTCTGACAATTCGCTATTTCGCCAAGCCAATCCTTTAAATTGAAAGGGCACCTTTGCCCCTCTTGCCCCTCCTGTTAAAGGGCAACGGGGGGCGGCTATCCCTCCTGCCCCCCAGTTCCGGCGTCCCTGGATAAACGATTTGAATATTTATGCCCAAGGCATCATGCAGGCATGAGTTATCAGTGGTTGCACATTGCAGTGCCGGCATGTCGAAGTTTTTGACCAAATCGTATTATTTTTATATATGCGTGGGTTTCACAAAATGTCAGCAAATTGTGGTCAATTGTAAACAAAAACACTATGTATGTTCACTATATGTTTTAACCTTATGTTTGGCAGCAAATACAAGCAATTTAGCTTCATTTTCTCGCTCTCATAAGGCATTAGCATCAATATAGTTACAATACAATATTTGTGAAGCTTAGGCAAGCGACGGTGTTGAGACTCACTTATTGACGTCTATTTCTTCAATTTATTTCTTCAAAATTTATTATACTTTAGCCATGTAGTGTCCACCACACGAAAATGTAGACATTTAATTTAAAGCAAAATTTGGAAACACATGGTGACAATTTGGACACAGGCTGACAATAGACCTTACGCCTTATAACGTCATATATATATATATATATATATATATATATATATATATATATATATATATATATATATATATATATATATATATATATATATATATATATATATACGGGCTTACGGATCGAAAGCATTGCAGTTATAAATTTACGTGGTGTTTCCACACACAAAACTATTATATATTTTATCGTCATGCAATCATACAAAGAACTTAAAGTGCCTATCACCCATTTTTTTTTTTTACTTTTTATTCGAAAAGTATAGTTAAAAACAAATATAAATTCGATTTTTTTTTTGAAAATTTTTTTTCCCCATGATTTTAATGCCAAATTGTTACAAAATTATAATGTTGGCCGAGCGCATCGGGGACTGGTAACCTGTGACGTAGCACGAGGGACTCATGTTAGTCGTGTTGTGTTTGCTACTGTATAAATATACGAACAGAAATGCTATTTCAAGCTTATTTTCGGATTATTTCATTGAAATTTTACATGAAGAACATCTTCCGGGTCAGACAAATGCTCTATCTCTGACGATGACTCGGAATATAACTATATTCCGGGTAACTATTCGCTCATTGAAACGGAGATTATGCAAGCTTCAGAAAGTGACGATGGCGATGTAGAACAGTCTGAACAGACGAGCTTTGCTGATGTGGAACCGTACTCAAGCGAGCCTATGCGGATGAAGAATGGGTTAAAGAGTACAGACAACGACAAGCAGAAAAAGAACAAAAGCTTGCAAGTTTGAAAGATCGTTTAGCTGGAAAAGAAAGCCTTAGTAACTGGTCAGTCTGAAACAAAACTAACATGTATTTTTAACATTTTAATTTCAATGCCAATATTATAAATCATTATGTATAAATCGCTGACCCATTGCTATCACATTTTAGGTGCTCTTGTGGTAAATGCTCAACAACCCTATTACAAAATCCCAATGAGTGCTTATGTTGTCAAGACATAGAGCAATGTGTAGAGTCCTTGTCTGATAAATGGGTGCTTGAAGATTTGCAAACTGCTCCAGAATGTATAACATTACATCCAGAATTTGAAACTGTCTGCCTTGATAGATGGTCGTTAAGGTTAACAGCTGGGAAGTACAGGACCATTGACAAAAAGCGTTATCTACAAACTGGTTCAGATGAGGCGTAATTCATCTTGACAATAATTCTGTATTTTTGTTAAGTGGGGGTGTTAAGGTGTTTACATCAGCCATATAATAGATTATATATAATGTATAGACCACTAAAACCAGTAGGGTTAATTTTCACCTTGGTTAACATGGTAAAAATCCAAAGAATACCAACCATGTAGCATAAGATGTTGCTTATAATCAATGCTCTTGAGAGTTAGGATGGCAATGATCAATTAAAATCCATTGTGATAGCTATCATGAACCTTTCTATAGTATTACCAATAAAGTATTTTATAGCGGTCTTTTTCTACTTTGTCATTGTGTGGCATAACTTTGGTCATATGAATGAATTTCTATTTTTTAGATTCATGAGAAGTGTGGCATACCGTCAATTTATACACCTGGTATATGAGCATGTTGGAAAACATAGGATTCCACTTCCTGCATGTGCCTACCATGCAATAAGGAGCAACTTCCAACCCAAAGACAGCAATGAATATTTTGTTGGTTTTCAAGATGAAGACATGGACAACTAAGAGTGATTACCTCATTAATGCATAAAGCTCTCCCCTTGACAAGTAAAATTGTCTGGTGTTATACAGAGTAAAATAATAAAGTAGCACACTTTTTGGAGACATCTATTCGTAGTTAGTTAGTTTGTTTGGTTAACCCTTTAAGTGGCAATGCACCCTGATGTGCCCTACTTTAGTATTTTAGTCTGTCTAACGCCAGACAATTTTATTCATCAAGTAGAGAGTGCTGCCACTCAATGGGTCAATCAAACAAACTGCCCATGCATCTCTTAACCCTTTAAATGGCAATGCACCCTGATGCACCCTACTTTAGTATTTTACTCTGCTAATGCCAGACAATTTTACATGTCAAGTGGAGAGTGCTGCCACTCAATGGGTTTGCACATTGCTCTTCCCTTAACCTATCAATCTGTATGTCATTAGACAGAGTAAAAGAATAAACCGGAGTGCATTGTGGCTTAATCCACTAAGCTCAGATGCAGCCTATATTATTCTGTTCCTCTGTTTAATGACAGAGCCTTGCCCATTACTGGGTTAATTAACCAAATTTTCCATCTAATGCCAGAGGATTTTAATTGGCAAGGGTGTGATAGCCTTGTGCATTAGATACTTGTAATTAACTTGAACAAAATAACTAATTTTACATATTTTTTGGACAGTCCATTACATTTTTATGTCCTTTCATGGGATTTTGCATGATGGACAATATCTTGGCTTTCGTAAAACTGTTTGAGTCATTGAAGATTCATTCACTAAAATACAAAAAATATGTAATCAGTTGATATCCTCAAAAATTTCACAAGAGAGCACAATGTAAATATTCTTCTCTTGTTAATTAAATGTATTTTACAACTTGTCTTTGGTTATAGAATATAAATTGCACAGTCCTAGGAACTTCTTGTACAACCATGGATTTCCTCTTTTTCCACAATTCTGTTGCCTTGTCCCTTGGCTGTTTTTCCAACATTGTATTCATTGGGGCTCGTGTCATTGCCTGCAGTTCCAATCTTGCTGCTTCTAGCTTCTTGTTTTGTTTGGCATCAATAAACATGTTGAAAATTTGTTCAACATAGTCTAGGGAACAAAAAAAACAACTTTAACATTTAGGAACCATAAGTTCTTTGTATGTTTGCATGGCGATAAAATATAATGGTTTTGTTTGTGGAAACACCACGTAAATTTATTACTGCAATTTATTAATTAATTTATTAAAGTAATTTATTACTTTTATTATTTATTAATTTATTATTTATTACTATTTATTATTTACTACTATTATTTATTAATTTATTACTTTATTATTTAGGAGCCACCACTTGGTGGTTTCTAAATTGGATTGTTTGCATACCATAATTTGGTTTCACTTTAACATTGCGCACTGTAGCTTCCCCATTTTTGAACTTTGGGTAGACCACTTTAACCTGCTCACTACCATCTTTGTTTTCTTGGTTTTTGCGGTGGAGGTTGTGGTTAAAATGTACAGCTGCGATGATATGCCTGGAAAATAAGATAATGCTATAATTTTAACTGTTGAGACTCAGAAATATAAGTAGGAGGGGTCAGGGGGTATGGTTTTGTCCTGTGCTACATATCACTTGTGCTCTAAAAATTGTCAGCATTGTAGGCTAGGCTACACTTTCAAATGGTATTAGTGAAGTGGAATGTTTGGTAAATTGTAACAGTTATAATTACTGTCATTTACCTGCAGTACAGTCCTTGATTTGAGTAGGCTATCATTTTGGGGGCAAACTGGTTAACCACAGAATGAAAACCCTCCAGACAACTTGTTTGGGCAACTGGTGATGCCTTTTTGATGCCCTTGACCAATGATGTCTTCTTCAGTACTTTGCATACTTTCTCATAAACTGTAGTTTCTGCAAAATTTAGTACAAGTATGATGTAACTCACTGAATATTTTTTAATTCCAAAATACAAAGTTTAGCATTATTTAATTAAGTTAGCATCAAAACAGCATGGTATGAGACAGAGTAAAATAAGTTAGGCCAAGGTACATTGGATTGGATTACACTAAATGCATACCTTCTTCAAGCCATTTCCTGTCTGATATTTCCTCTCCATGAGCACACTTGTTAAAGATGCCATTTGGAAGATCTGAGTGCTTGTTGACAAGATGGGACAAGAAAGATTCAAACTTAGCCCAAATCAATTCACCATCACCAGACGGGGTAGATGTTGCACTCCATATCAGATGGTTTTCACATGGCTTTATCCATATTGTTAGGTCTTCACAGTCTTTTTCTTTACTAACCTTGGTAAGAACTTTGTGTATTTCTAAACAAAACATTATGTAACTTGAAATTAATTTTAAACACAGTTTCCCCAAATCCTATTTTCCTTCCAACTAGTTTACTAGAGGGTGGGGTATTCAACTGTCAGGCTTCTTGAAGGAGTCAGAATGACAATGGCATTACAAATACTTACTCTTCTTGAGATGCCACAGGTCAAAATAGTGCTTTATATGGGCAAGATTTTCCTGCATATGTTTGGCGATACCAGTGTGACGATCAGTGATGAATGTCTCAAAAAGAATTCCCCAAACCAGAAGGCTGTCCATGCAGTTTTTGAACCCCAGCAGCTCCATTGCCGGACTGTTACCTGCTATATTTCTCTATTATATAAAATGAGGATATAGATTAGTAAAGAGGATAATATGCTTTTTAGCTTGTAAATTAGTAAGGCTCTGACCCCATGTCAAGTAAAATCATCGCCAGTAAAAGAATAAAGTGGCCGGGGTACATTGTGCCATTGGCAGATACTGGCAGTGTTGTGAGGTTTTTTCCTTCATTTGGGTATTCGGTTTCACATTTGTCAAAAAAAAGAGTCAGCCATGTTTTTATCTCTGCAACATTCGCTTTTGCCATTTACTTTACAGTTATCGAACTGTTGCTGTAACTAAACATATAATGATAAATTTTCCACTTGGAAAAGCTACAGTAAGTACATAAAATGTGGGTGTCTATACCTACCTGAACCAAGGAAAAATCAATGGTGAGGGGAACTGTGCAACAGAACAAAGTGTAGGCACAGTATTTGGCACTGTGACCCATGCTGTCATGCCTGCCATCACCAGCAATGACTAGAGACTGTTCTGTTGCTTTCAGCTTGGCCATCATTTTCTCTTGGTATTTCTTCCAGTACAAATGCACAGTGGGAAAGAGTTTGTTCTAAAGAAATAGTTAAAAATAATGTGTCATGCAGTTACATTATATGTGTAACTAAAGCATGTAGTTCATGTATGCACACCCTGACCCTGTGTCAGGACCTAAAAATTGGCATACATGAAGTAGTCCCCCATCTGCATATAGCCATATACTCACAGCCTGATGTTTGAAGTAAGTCTTCAAGGAAATGCAAGATAATCCAACATTCTTGAAAACTAGAAATATTTTGGATGGTGAAGCACCAGACACCAGGACTGAAAAACAGAGCAGGAAGTTCTTTGCTGGCATTTTTGTTCCTGTCATGATTGGCTGACTTTTCCCGGTATTCTCAGGAGATGAACAGTCAGGGTTAAAGCACTTTGTTGTTATCTTAACCATAGTACCAAGAACACTCGTTTCAATAAAGGGCTTCTCTGATTTACAAGCTGGACATACGTTGAATAGGAGCAGTAGTTGAGACAAGAACTATTATCTGGAGTCTTATAACAATGAGAACAACAAAATATATCTATTAATAAACATAATTCAAGACTAGAACATGCTCAACAGTTGTAAATTATACTATAATTACTATACTGCGAATAAATTACACACAATATACAGTAACCAAGGCTAATACTAGTAGGTAATTAAAAATGTTTAGATTTCCCACTGCTGACTATTATTAAAAATATTTACAGCATATAAAATTGGGCTGTTCTTAAATTTGCTAGTTTTACTATAAAAATTGTGAGAATAATCATTATTGATCTTGTGTTCCTTCTAGCTACTTGACTTTTCCTTGGCGGGAGGAGATGATTAAGTTTGTGATCTTCATGGGATAGATTTTACATTCCCATAACACAACGGTTTTCAACTGGTTTTCTCATGTGTCCCCGATTTCACATGATTGAATTACCACGTCCCCTGAACAGAAATTGCCCACTGAAGTCTATCAAAAACATGAATTTCGAAATAGTTAGTAAAATAGTAAATGATTTAAATTTTAAATAATAGATAGAAAGTCAAGCAAACATGTTTATAGTACAAACTATTTTAACTACTCGAATACCAGGAAATAATGGAATTTTTTTTCTCAGTCCTAGACCAGTTTGTGTCCCCTAGGAATTTGCCAAATGTCCCCTCTCGGGGACATGTCCTCCAAGTTGAAAACCGTTGCCATAACAGATACTCCTTCTAGCTACAGTACTTGACATTTTATTAATATGTTAACATTTTATTACAGTATGTGCACAATTTACTGCAGGAACTGCCCATAGAAAATTTTAAAAACTTTAATGTCCTGATGGAAAGCCTTGATGTATGTACACTGATGTGCCTTGCTTTATTTTAAGCTAGGGAGGAGCGCTGCCATTTAACTGGTTAAACTTACTTTATAACTTGTGGTTTTTCATCATCTGAAGACAAGTCTGATTCTGACAAATCTGCTTCTGGAGCAGATTCAGTACCAGAAGCCAAGCTAGGTTCAGGTGAAGAAACTTCTGAATAGTCAGGCTCTTCTTCAATGTCCATTTCTTCATCACTGCTTACAAAGGTTTCGTCTTCTAATTTCTCCTCCATAGCAGCTACTTTGGCCATACTCTCATCTATGCTCTCTGTAGTAGAAGATGCTAACTATAGTATAGAGCACTAATGTAACATTACACTTTGAAAGACTGCACACAGCACTTTGTAGTGATAGAATAATGCAACCCTGAAAAACCTCACCCCTAGAACTATTTGTGTCTAGTTCAATGATAATTGTTGTGCTTCTACCCATGAAAATTGTTGTGCTTTTGATGTTGAGGTATTCTCACCTTTTTGTTTTTGTATTGCAGCCTCCTTGTCTTGGATTTTTAGTTTAAGATCAATAATCTTATTGCCGAGTTGGCGGTTTTGGCTTTTCAATTTCTTACAACCTAAACACTCTGGTGTTTGGCAGGAAGCCTCTTCAGTCTAGAAAATAATAATTGAAAAATTTGTGATATATTTTCAGCAAACATATTTCTAATGGTAAATTTGCAAATTTGAATCGTTCAACTTACAGATAAAGGTTGTTGGACGGGATAAAGGCTGTCAGATGTCGCCGTTTGATCATCAACCAAGCCAGGCTCGTCAGTAGTGGATGTTGTTGAGGTACTAGCTTCGGCCTCACTGGTTTTGGCAACATTTTCTTTTAGTACTTCTCTTACAGCCTATCCAAACGAGAAGGGCATGTTTGTGAGTTTACTGAGTTGACTATACAGAATGCGCGAATGAATAAAGCGGAGTGAATGACGAATATTGTACTTACACGGCGATGTTTTCTCGTTGAACTTGGATGAGTCGGATCGACACTCTCTTGGCTTTGGCCATGTTTGTCGTAATTGCTGGGTTCAGGAGTCTTAGTCGTAATACTGATCGACTAACGAAATCCGTTCCAGGTATAATCACAAATGGGCTTTCAAAATCTTCGGTTTGAAAGTGCTGTGAACAAAGCCGGGAGTTTGCTGTTGGCGACCATTTTGCACGTTTTGTCCGCACAAATGCAACCCAAAGTCGTCGTCTTTTCTTCTCTAAATCGTTCTCTTCGGGAAATTTATGAAGACCGATATTTTGTGAAGGGTCAGGAACATTAGAACAACCACCAGCTACACATCTATTAGGCATATTCTTTTATAAAACTCGAAGAAATTTGCGCGTATAGCTAGTAGCGGAATAGATGTAAATACAAATTGCAAATGCGAGTCCCTCGTGCTACGTCACTAGGCCCAATCTCTTCGTAAATCACTTCGCACGGCCAGAAAGCTTAGATATTTAAAAAATGCGCTATTTTCACACCGTTTTGACTGAGAAAAAGCATAAAAAAGGGTAAAAATGGATTTATTTCCGAAAAATATCATTACTAGTATGCTCCACTTTCAAATTGTAAAATAAAAAAAATTGGGTGATAGGCACTTTAAATTAATAGAATACTTATTTAGAGTTTCTGAATTTTCTCTTAATGGTTGCGCGCTTGGGTAAAGAACACAGTGGATTCTGTGGACACTTCTTTTGGTCGTTTTGACGACAGAGCAGTTGTTAGGAAAGTTCTTTTTTTTTTGAAAGACGCCACAATACGACAAAAGGACTGGTTGGAATAAGTCCTTCTGGAGCTGTATCATTTGTATCAGAATTCGAACTTCATGCTGGGAGAAGAAGTGATAAACAAATAACATTGAATTGTGGAATTCTAAATTTTTTGGAAGAAGGTGACTCTGTCATGGCTGAAAAAGGTTTTGATATAGAAGGTGATATGCAGCAGGGTGTTTCTCTCAGTATCCCTCCATTTCTAAGAGAAAAGGACCACTTGTCCATTGACGAAGAAACTGAAACTCGCCGAATTGCCTCTGTGCGGATTGATGTTGAACGTGCAATTTCACGGATAAAAACTTTAAAATCTTAAAAACTATAATATATCCCATAACATTTTGAACTTTGCAACGAATTGCGAAGTTTGGAACATTTTAATGAAAACTAAGTTGAAATCGACAACAAAGCATACATAAAAGACAGCAATGAACACAAAAACAGGAATTATTTGAGCGGTTTTCAGTGTCCTCTTTTCAGTTTAAATTAAATGCTGTTTATATGGTAAGCAATTATAGTCGAATCCCCTTCTCTCTTTGAATGTTTAGGAATTAAGGGACGTGACTTGGGACAATGGTGAATTGGAGCAGTTGTTCTTGTTTCGGTTCATTCACACTTGTCCTAATTCACCCCATTTTACTACAGTACCCTGCATTACTAGTAGATTTTTAATGGTTTCATTTAGGTGCTAAAATAGGAAGAATAAATGAGCAATAAAAATCTGTTAGCTCTGGTAACATTTTCTTCTCCCACAAACTAATGTCTCGATGCAATCTTTGGACATGAATGTCAGTGTTAGCATAAATGGCAAAGTCAAGGCAGGGCAGTCCTAAAATGTTCATTGTCCCTTGACACTGGTAGAAATATTCATGCAGCTTTAGGCCAGAGGTAGTGTTTTTCAAAAAGAAGCGCTTATCTCCATTGACAACATCAAGTACTGTCATGTCCTTCTTTGAGTATGGACACTTTATCTCTACACATTCAACTGTACCGTACCACCTTCCACAACAATACCACCAGGAATGCAGCCAAGCATAGATATAGGAGAGTTAGATTGCTGACTCTGCTGAAGAGGCGCGCCAAATTTGAAGATCCAAGATGGCGACTTTTTGCATTTAATAATTAATAATAATTTAATGCTTATATCGTGCAAATTTACATTCAGATATGATCAAATGCGCGTAATTTACGTCGTCCTACTGTTTCTGATCCCGTTGAACCACCTTTTTTTGGAAGAACTAACTGGTGTGAAAGTTTTGAATGTATATTTGTTATAATTAGTAGGATTTACAGTTTAAAATTCAACCGGGCAAGAATGGGCAAAGACGAAAATGGCGCGAAACTGCCGGCCCGGTTTCTTTTCCTGTGTATTCCTTCAGTCTTTTACCAGCTTTTCTAAAGTAATACAGGGTGTATAAAAAAAAACTGAACAGATTTGAAATTGCTCTCAATTTTCGCAAAACACCTATTTGTATCTGTTTTTTATATCTATAGCTTCTTTGGGTACTTATAATGTAGAATAATGAAAAAAATTTCTCAAACTAAAATTTTGTGAACCAGGGGTGTGTGTCTTTTCCAACAAACTAAAAATAGCTCACGCACAAAATTTAAAAGTTGTAGTCATATTTTGAGTGAATTGATGGAAACTTTGTTGGGTTTTTAATTACTGTACAAAATTTCAGACAATTTGATTTAGTTTAAGCCTTTAACTATTCATTTTATTCTAAAAAATCAGCCTTTCGCATGCTTAATTAATGCCTTTACCTAATTTGCATATTGCTAACATAAGCAAATTAGGCAAAGGCATTAATTAAGCATGCAAATAGCTGATTTTTAGGGAAAATGTAACTTTGCGTGAATAGTTGAAGGGCTTAAACTAAACCAAATTGTCTGCAATTTTGTACAGTAATTAAAAACCCAACATCTATTAACTCAAAATATGATTTCAACTTTTAAATTTTGTGCGCGAGCCATTTTTAGTTTGTTTGAAAAGACACCCCCCCCCCCCCCCCCCCCC